CATAATGTCATCACTCAAAAATACCTCGCTACAGTGAACAAATTCTACAACCTGAGGTATCTTCAAGAAATTGTTGAGTTAGGAAAATTAATGCACATGGATATATTACATTATAATATTTATTATATTTGTGTGGTAATGAAAGTCCAGAAGCTTACAACCAAGCTATTCTCTTGATGAAGGTTGGTAAGTTCCACAACAAGTCATTGTATATCCATATTATATACTTATCGCATTATTTTCAGGTGTGATATTCATTCTCACAGACTTTATGAGATGGTTCCCTCAATGGATAAGAAACATTGTATGGAAAGTGCAATTATAGCATTGTCGATGTCGGAGATGCTTTTCACAAATCAGTGTGGGACTCTAGATTGTGTAGAGTGTCATGCACAAGTATGTATAATGTGTGTATGTTAAGATCATAATTACTATTATTGACCATCGCATTTCAGGGTGCTCAAAATGCCATGGTCATGTAAGATTACCAAAAATGAAGTGTTACAGAGAGTAAACAGAAGAATAGAGTTGTAGTATGAAGGAAAATCAGAAAAACAAAACCTTCATGTGTCTAGTATCAAAAAAAGCTTATAAAAAGTTTAATCCAAACTTGCACAAATATACAGACACAATTCGCGTGTTTGATTACCCTGTATGAGCAAAAATGAGAATTCGAAAAAGTTGACAAACAAGATAAAAGCTGAGGTGTGTACGTTTTTTTTTGATACAAAATTCAGCACTCCATATTTCAAAATGGCGGATTGAGGGGTTGCCGAAGTGGACGGTTTTTCTTGACAAAACACCTTACATCTCAGTAGCTAATTACAGAAACCCCATAGTATGTGATATCGATCTTCTTCTTTTGAATTGGTTTATCCAAATCTGTAATAAAGTTTGAGTCATTCCATTAAAAAAATCACAACTTTGATATGTAAGGTCAAAATTGGGACACCCTGTATAATTTCCAATATTTTAGAAATGTGCCCTGAAATGTCGAGAATATATGCCATAAATAGTTTTTGAGGTCACCCTGTATACAACATATGAAAAATTAAGGCATCTGATGTACATTGAGAAGCTTTGAAAATTCGCTTAGAACTATTTATTATTTTATACATGTTGCTGAGTAATTCAGTTATCTCATGAAGAGGTTGTATTTTTGCTGGTCGAGGGGGAGGTGAAAAATGGTCCTGCCAATCCTCTTTCCTTTTGGAATGTTGTCGTTTTTATATTTTTATTATTATTATTATTATTATTATTATTATATTGGTTGAAATATTCATATTGATACATACCTGTTCTAATTATCGCAAAGTCATTGCTTATCCGCGACATTTTTCTTTGCAACAGCGTCGCCCTATATACCGATGAAGCTACTAAGTTTTTTCTAGTACACTGCGATAGAGGGAGTGTTAGAGCAATTGTATTCTTTCGAATTCGCTAACAAAATATTGGTCATTTAAATGAAATTGTAGAAATCTTCTACAAGCAAGCATAAGAAATTGATATTATTTGTTTATAAGGGAAAAAATGATAACACTCTTGGACAAGAAATACTGGTATTAATACTGTACAACTTGAACATTTTTGTCTGATTTCGTGTTCTTAAGTATTCTAGAGTCGAAAAAAACAGAATTACATTCAATAATAAAATATCTATATGAAAAAAGAAATAAAAATGATTTTTATGCCTTGTATAGAAACCCTCTCGAATATTGGCCGATCTAGAGGAGCGAGGAGGGTACGTTTCCCCTAGACTCCGAAGTATAAAATTTTGACTTAGAGAAGAAAATATAAATATAAAATGTAAATCTTTTACACTGCACATACATGTTGTGAAGTAAGTAAATTTTGCGTACAACACATACACCCTAGACGATAACCAAGATATTAGGTTCAAAAGATCTGTTTGAGCCAGTTCGGTCCTGCCATCCAATTCCGGCCGATGATCAGGTGAAAAGACGCACGTCAGTATTTGGTCCGTAACATCCTGTCTTTTCAACAAATGAAGTGTGTAAGAAAAGGAAAGTTGCACAGCCCTGTCAAAATGAGATTGTCGATATAAATTACGAGCGTTTTTAAGGTACTGTTCAGGCGTATTCAGATTATCTTCCATCACGAAGTGGGCATTAAAAGAGCTATGGACACAGGCCATTAGCATGAAAGTCGAGGTGGTAACAGTGAGACTCAAGGCAACTGCTAAAGGTGGACACAATCTCATGTTTTGGAATCGAACAGCGACAACTTCCAACAGTACTACTATTTGTTCACAGTTCAGTTATGATCACTTGGAAAAATCACTTGTCGCTTCTGATTTTTCAAGTGTTTCTCGTATTATTATAGATCAACGTAAAAATAAAACATATATTGTACAAAAACTATAATTATAATATTAGAAAGAAAAACTCTCAAATTACTTTACTTACCCCAAATAAAACCATTATGCTAAAATCATTTATCTATCAGGCTTCACTGTTATATGATAACATATCAGCAAAAAATATAAAAACATAACATTGAATCAAAAAGAACTGAAAGGTTAGTTGAGGTAAATTCCAAATTGCAACATATTAACATATGTATATTCAGCTATTTTAAGTAAAATCATATGCATTCTAATAAAGGAATTAAAATCCATAATGCACAACGCTGGATACGCTGTATTACATATCATGGTTATTTATTTTTGATAATTAACATTTACCTTTACTTAATGTACTTATGCATTTTTTCCACGCAGAAAGATTTCGTTTATTCACCATGTTGTATATTATTGTGAATAAATTATTATAATTATTAATGAGAGAGAAAACGCCAACATTCAGGACATCCAATAAATTATGCTTCATTTAGATGCAGATAAGTTTTACTCCGTAGTCAAATACCGACAGTTTACAATACCATCCATCTATTATCAGAAACAGAATCCGATGCAGCTTAAAATCACAAAGCCAGTTCTCGCTAGCCTAATTTTTTCTCCATAAATGTTCGCAATTCTACGTCACCAGCAGCACGTTCCCCGCAGACTTGAATAATAAATATTGGAAACGTTGCAAATTGCGAAAGAGGCCGTAGCGGCATATATCAAGGAATTTGACAACCTCTAAGTCTTGGAAAATGGAAAATTCAACGTCACCATTCAAATAATGGTGTTTATCCATCGACAAACTCCTGCTGAATATTAAAAGAAGCTTCCTCGGCATCGGCAATGCGAAAACATTGGAAGGTGTCGCGCCGTCAACGCTCTGCAGTGTCGCCGTATTGAAATTTTAATATTCGCGAGAGAACGTTGGTCCGATAAAATTAGACTTAGAAAGAAAAGATTTCAACCAAACTATTTGCTTACTATACCGAAACGTCTATAACCTATCAAAAATCGGGTACGCTGAGTTTGGTAGAATTGTCGACACTGTCACTGTGACACATTCCAATAGTAGTCTTAACAAAAAGATCGTGCAATAGAAGCACGTGTGTTGTGTTTTTTAGGTCTATTTTTCTCAAGAAACCTTAGGATCCAAGGCCGACTCTTACAACTATATAGCCTATGCCTCTTCTTTCTTCGTTATAAGTTAGGTGATGGAGAGGTGCATAATAGGGAGCTAAAAGAGTACCTTGAACGTCACTGCTTGGCCAGCGACAGGCATCAGCTATTCACACGGGAGTTCCTAGCTTAGGTCACGCAACTGTGGAGTAAACTTATCCAGTCTTATGGTGCGGCTCTTGTCCTTGCTCTTGATATCACCAATGATTTTTATTAGCTGAGGCATGCTGCCCTCATACGCAAACCTCCATCCCATGTCCCCCAGAGAAGCTTTGCAGATGGGTGGCTGACCCTCTGGCGGCAAGATATCTGCCGCGATTGAATAGTTCTCCTCTTCGACCCAGAACGTCAACGGGGGTGTTCCCTAGCACAATTAACTTGATCCACGGCTTTGCTGCTGATTTGCAGACCCGTCTAACTTCGACCTCCTATCCTAACTGTGTCGAACTTCGTACATCCAGAACTAGCCGATTCCACCTCTCCTTTGACAATACGGTATCGAGGTAGGGTAACAATCTGCATGCTGAGACTTTTCCCAGTTCTATTGACCTGAGGCTGTTAAAATCTTTGATCAACAAAGTGTCTTTAAGCTCCTCATAGCTGCTGAGACTTGTTTTTTTTGATTTTTTTATTCAAACATAATTACAACGTTATACTGTCAGCCTCAAAATAACTTTCTTCTGAAGCCAAACAACGCCGGAGACGATTCTTCCACTCCTCATAGCAGTACTGGAACTTCGATACTAGAATAGCCTTCAGCTGGTCGGTAACAGCCGTTTGAGTGTTTTATACTGCTCAACATGGGTTCTCTTTAGGTGATTTTAGACTTTGGAAAGGGAAAAAAGTCACAAAGGACTCAAGGTAGGCAATTACAGAGGTTGATGAGCCACAGGAACGTTTTTACTGGCCAAAAACTCACAATTAACTCGATCATCCTAGGTTATAGAAGAAGAAGGCCTTCCGCTTCGTGGTTCATCTTCAGTCAACTCGCTTCTGAATATGCCGTAAACCACCGAAAAACCTGGGCTCTTGACAAAACGCCATCTCTGTAGAACCTGCTGAAGTTTACAATGAGTTTCCGTTGAATGAGTTTCCGTTGCACAGTGCCCAAGTTTCAGACTTGCAAAATGATGGTATCGCGTCGCGGAATCGCGTTTTTAAAAACGACTTACAAGCGATTTGATACTTTATTCTACTATAAATATATACGTAATGTTTAGACTAACAACGATATGTTAGCAAACCTAACCTAAGTGAGTTCAATGCAAGAGTAATAGGATTAAACTGATGCCTGAAGGGCACAACCATCAATATATAACATAGGGTTGTTTACTAAGATAAGATATAATTATAGCTATTAGGAAGATATACGAGGGGCTCTCGCTATATAACTCCTCCCTGCCGAAGATGAGCAAACGGGGGATCCAAAGTTTGCGAATCCGGAACTGCTTCTTCTTCTCTACGTCTTCTTGCTTCTCTTAGCTTCTTTAAAATTTGGTAAATGATGTAACCAATGAAAGTTGATAGAAGAAGTAAAAATATGATTACATTTGTCTTCTCTATGGGACGATCTGGGAACTGGATACTGTCTTCGTTGGGATATTTGAAGATTCTGGATTGTCTTCAAGTTGAATTTTGTTACATCAACAAGGTTCTGCTTCGTGAAATTGGTCAGGCTTATAGCTGGTAAAGGGAAAATTGTTTCATGGTCGATGCGATCTGAGGGATAGAACTTGTGTTGATTGATTTCTAAGCTGCATCGCTGGAGTTCTATGAGACTTGGTTGAGAAATAACTATCGGGCCGTCTTCTGGACATGACGAATGCACTGTAGTGGGCTCTCTTGGACATATGATTACTTTAGATGGAGATATCTGCTGTACCAGAGTTCTTGATTGCTGTATTCTTGTTATGGGATAAGTGTTTCTTCCATTTTTGATAATTTCTACTAGGCATGGATCTGCTTCTAATAAGTCTTCGTGTTTACAGAAGTATTTATTTGCGACTTCTGTGCAAAGGTGGTCTGTGTTCCAGTGGTTTTTCAAGTCGAAAAGAAGGTATTGGGATTTTGGGATTAGGGTATAGTTAAATTGAAAAACAGGAAAAACACTAAAATAATGAAAGGAGTTCGAGATTAATGGTGCATAAATTTTAAATAAAATGATATTATCGAAAATAGTTACATCGGTTGTAAATAACGAATAATAGTCAATTACGTGATCAAATTTCGGAATTCTTTCGCTACTATAATCTTTGGATAAATAATTTAAAATTGAGGAAATACTATTTGTGTCTAGAATTGCAGAATGTAAAATATGTATTCTTGCAAACGATAAGGCTGTTTGTAAATTGCTAATTATTTCATATAAAGCTTGTAATTCCAAAATAATTGTATCTATAGTGAGGCTGAGTGATAATACATTATCTTGTTCCCTTAGAATTTTATTGTTGTTGATCAAGTCATTTAGATGACTAACAATAATTTTCTCGTTATCCCTAATGGTCTGAAAAGTAATCTCATAATGAGTGGTAATATCCCTTAATATTGTTTGTTGTTTGTTTATGCGAGATTGTAAGTTCAACTCATTAGATTTAATAGTATCCAAATAATTGTTAATGATTTCTTTATCTGCGGAGTCCATCGTTCCAAACAAATATTTCGAAAGTGTACCAACACCATTGAATAAACCTCTTTTAATGCGTTTGTTATGTAAAATGCCAAATTTATTGTCGATTTTATTTTTCAATGAAATAGCATGTTCCAATTTTTGTAAAAGCTGAATTGAAAAGTGATTGGAATTTTGTTTCAAAAATACTTGCGTTCTTAAAATATGTTGCCC